ACTGGATAAACAAAAAACTTGGGTATTTGTTTGCACACAAGGAAAAAACCAGTTTACTTGTACAAGATATTATTTTTTCAATAAAATAAATACACTAATGTATGTGGCATGCCTTATGGAGCTATGCTTGTGATTTTCAAAAAAAAATGTGAAAAGTGCCCAAAAAACTATTCCGCTACCTTAAAGCATAACTAGATACTCACTGCTGGTAATATTAGATCTGTTTAATTTGTTTAAAAGATTCCTCTCATTAGAAAATAGCGCCCTCACTCAACAATATTTAGAATGAGTGGTTGGTCAAAAGTTTGAACTTTACTTAGAAGTACATCGATTTGGGGTCTTGTTTTCACTGCTGGGACGCTGTAAATATATAATGAAATAAATCAAAAAGACATGTTGATTTGATTGAGAATCGCCCATTTTAATGAAATTAATTTAATAATGTGAATTATTCATTCCCGTCGATCACTGTACAAATATAGTTTATTCCACTAATATTTCCACTACATTGAACAAGGAATGCCTTTCATTCCAAACACTTCCACTTCACACAGGTGTAGATAGTTGTTATGACCTTTCAGTTGTACGGCAACATAACGCCCACTGAGCTGACAATCAAATGTGATCTTTTCTCCATATGTGTTTGCGTTCCAGTCTATTTGATCACCACATTGATCATTTTGACTTATATCAGAACTGTCACCAACTGACACCACTGCTCCATCAATTCTCTCAGCTGAAATATCGAATATGCATGTTTTAAAGGTGTTGAATGTGTTGAGATATATTGAAAACAATAGTGCACGGCTGATTTATGGCATAAATTCAATAAACTATAATTCAATTCAACGTGTATGTGATTTCGACATAATTCAAGATATATGGCATGTTATCATATTAAAATATCTGCTTACAACTGGTTTTTCATCCGTGTCGAAAATAAATGGTCCTTTTGTGCACGTTTTCGACACGGCTTATCAGCAACGTCAAGTGCCAGAACCACGAAATAAACAGCCAATGTCAATAGAGTAGCCTAGGTGTTAAATGGATTAGGTACTGGCATCCAACTACTCTAATCGCATGCTTTTTGGTTGATTTAGCAATCTTTTTTGAACTCATCAGCCCTCAAAACCTAATATAAGAATGAAAGAAATCTGTCGAGATTTCACGTTGGCTGTTGGGGGGTTTGCTGTTCCCTCTCTGGACTCCCTCCCGGCATATACTACCAACTCCTACCATGTCCATGACACATGTCAAGCTATAAACTGGCAACTGTCACTGAACAGTACTCATTTCGCCCAATTTCTTAATTTCCGGCCGGTAAACGACTATATTTTCTCGCTCGCTTGTCCAAAAACTGATCACTGGCACATGAGTTGTCAATATGGTTGTTTTAACGCTAAAGTTTGAGGATACAACGAGTATTAACCATTATTTAATTCTGAACGACACTTCAAATCAAGCAACTTTTTTATCGTTCGCGAACGCAACTTGAACTATGACCTCTTGTTGCGTTCCACAACAAGCTGATAAAGAGCGGGACTGTGTTCCGTTTGAATCCAGGGCTGCTACCTCGTTTCAAAAATATGTTTATCGAGACATTTACGTGATACAGGCAGTGCTAGGGCTAGGGATAGGGCCTTAGGACAGAGAGCAGAGAAACAAGAAACATATTGATGCGTTTTCCGAAAAACAACGATTCTAAATCCATGTATTTAAAATGCGACCGAGCAGATGGGCGATATTTCCGGGTTCGGGCGGTCAAAAAATAAACCGGAAGTTATTTAATAAGCGGTTACAAAAGTGAGTAAAAAATAATCGAAAAGCAAAAGCGAGCAGAAGTTTGGGTGAAATTGGTGCTGTATATTTGGTCGGAATAAACAAGTCCTTTGTGAAAATACGATCGGCCAAGATCTAACATTCTGAAGCACGCCAATTACAATCTCATGGTCCAATCAGTACTGTTGTATTCGTCAACCGAACGTTACAATCCGGACCTGCTAGACGAATATTATTGCAAATGTCATTACTTTCTCCCTGAACAATGAATTCAGAAGCAATTTGGTGTTAGTACATGTATGTTATTTTAGATTGATTTTTATTTGGTTTCACGTGATAGTGAAATATATCATTACAAACTGGAAGTTTACGGCATCGATCAGAGAATGGAGGTAGAAACACTTTCACGATCAGAGTATACACCAGACCACGTTTGTTTTTTGGAGGGACTGTGCTGTGCCCAGACTGCTCGTTTTGATGATTGGTATGGGTGTGGCTTGTGGGTAAGAATAGAAAATGTATTCCGATGAGGTTGTGATTTTTACTATTGATGGGTGGAGTGATGTTAAAAAATAAGTCGTTCATCGTCTTGCGTATACCGCAACAACAAAGGATTACTTTTCAACACAGATCTCCAGTCAAGAGAGTGGCGTTCGATACTGATGCTGCCTTGAGAGGTGTGACGCACAGATTTTAATAAAGTGACTGTGTCTGCAGCTCACTTGTCATTTTTATACCTCGCTGCTGTTCCATTTATTCTCTTTTTATTTAATTCAGTACTATCTCCAGAATATGTATAAAGTAACATTCATGGTTTAGTTGTCGGAGCGAATCAATAAAGTTCACCGCGGGTATTATAAAGAGTAATTCGATTTTTTTTAGAATTGTAACGGATTTTATATTCATTTATTTGTTTGTAATAAATTAACTTTTCCATAGGCTAATTTGTGTAATTTTGAAACTTTTAAATAATCCGATGAACTGAAACACACTTCCCTTTCTACCTTCCTCCGGCACTGCAGTGCATTGTGTACTTTTACGGCGTTCGATCATAGTATTTATTGATCTGCATAGAAAAACCTCTCATTGTAATTAAAATATCTTAATCTGTTGTGTTTAATAAATGATGAGTGGAAGTTTTCCAGTGTTCATCATAACCCTCCTACCCCGAAGTAAAACAGGGCCTAAATTTATATGGAGTAAAACGTAGAATTGGAAGAGCTGTCCATGCATGACCAATCGCACGAGAGTTCACAAATACCAATGAAATATTTGTTATTGTACTTAACAAAGAGGCTTGGCACAAACACAATGGACCGATTATAGGCTTAAAGTTGGATCCGTGTATCATTGTTTAAGGTAGAGATGCAGGTTCGTGGGCACTTGGGAGTGAATTTTATTTTTTTTTGCTTTTTATTATCCAAACAATCTTGGCTATAGACTGTTAAAATTGTGTAGAATTATGAATAGTAGAACATACTCAAAAAACGATTTTAATATATAGATAACAGGTACAAACATTATCTCTTTTGAATGCTTAGCAAGATTTAGCAAGGCTGTACATAATAATAAAAAAGGAACATGGTGAAAAAAAGAAATCACGGGATCTCCATATTATGCACTATATAACTTTTAACAAAACGATAATACATTTAAATTTGGAACTGTTACAGGCATTTTAATTATGAGCATTAGCATTATTAGCATTTTTATGCAAATTAGCAATTATCTCAGCTTCTTGTTAGTGCACATCCCAGAAAAAAATAGCTCCTAGACGCTTTGACCTTTTGTTTTGAAATTTTCAAAAAATGATTGACAATGTGTTTAACTTCAAAACGCCGTCGGGGCATTGTTTTTGGTTGAACAGTGTTACAGCAATCGTACAGACAATTAGCCTGGGTGTTGATTTATGCATAAACTTGAAGTAGTGAAATTTGAGCTGCTGCCCTTCAAAATTGACAACTGGTAGACAGTTTTCAAGACGGCACTTTTTTCATAGTAAACAGATGTACCCATAAACCAATTTTGACAGGAAACAGATGCATGGCTCAGAAGCTATTTTTTTAAATCGCCTTTGACCAAAAAAGCAAATTTATGTGCATACTTCAAACTACAGTGTTCGTAAAAACAAAATTTAAAATTCATACAATAAGCTTTTCGGAAAAATATAGTTTTGTGGACAAGGGAGGTCATCTTGGTTTCCTAATAAAGTAATTAAAATACCTGTCAGGTAAACTGCTTCTCTACCTTAACTGGTATATACTTACAACAACAATCTTGTCGATTGGTTATTACCACTTGACATATAGAGTATCTTTCTCCCAAATCTAGTTTCCACCAAGCATCCTGTTCCTTATCAGTATGGCTACAACTTTCATGAGGATATATAGAATCATAATTTCCATCAATAGCGTAATTAGCTGGACCATTAAAAGCAGTACTGCTTTGACTTGCTATTCCTTTTATTACAACATTTTC